GAAGTACCCAGCAACGCCGGGAAATCTTCCAGCATTTGTCTGATAACAGGCCCAGGGCCGATCCTCCTGGCCTCCACTCAGCACATCCTCCTGCAGCCAGGGGAGGCAGAGGACTGTCTCCCTTCCCCCGCTCACACCTCTGGAAGCCTGGGATGGGACAGCAGAGTCTGGTGGCCCCTCTGAGCAGGGATTCTGTCCTGGCGGTGGCTAACCCAGCAATGAGGCACCTCGTCCCTTAGGGAATCCAGCCCGCAGAGTGGCAGAAGAACACAAGATCGACTCACTTACCAGGGCAGTTTTCTGTGTTGAAGAGCGGGAAGTGCATGACGGTGGGACCTGTCTTGCCCTTGAAGACGTAGCAACTGGAGGGCTTGTCTCGGTCTTTCTTGTCAAACTTTTTGTCATCTACCGGGGGAAATGGGATCCCATTTGCCTGGCAATACTCGGACGCTCTCCTGATGGTCTGGGGAGGAGGGAAAAGAGATTGTAAAATAAACCATCAGCATTTCCACTCGCATCGTATGATCCCACTAATGTGGCCAGGCTAGAGCGTTAGAGGTGCACCTAACCTGAGAGACACAAGCATTCCAAGGAGCCTCTATGGAACTGATGGACAGGACCTCCCCAGGCACGACCCGATTGCCACATCCCTGCAGCCAGAATCGTTGTGTAACAGCACTTACACTATGGCTGTGGGATGAGGAGGGAGAAAATTGTTCCCCTTGACCTCTGAGGACAGGACAGGAAGCAAGGGGCTGAAACTGCAGCAAGGGAGGTTGAGGTTGGACAATAGGAAAAACTTCCTGCCTGTCCGGGTGGTGAAACACTGGGATAAATTGCCTAGGGGGGTTGTGGAATCCCCATCTCTGGGGATATTGAAGAGCAGGCTGGACAGACACCTGGCAGGGATGGTCTAGACAGTGCTTGGTCCTGCCGTGAAGCCAGGGATGGCAGGGACTGGACTTGACCTCTCGAGGTCCCTTCCAGCTCTAGTGTTCTAGGATTCTACGATTCTATGAGTTTCTGATTCTACGATTCTGTGGTTTCTGCCCTGTTCTATCCCAGTTCAGGCTTTGGGCGACATCACATAAATTGTAGATGTTACCTCGAAGGGATCCCCCGAGCTGAAGTCAAAGGAGAGGATCAGTTTCACGTTCCTCTGTGGGCGCAGCACCAAGGGGTAGGCGGAGTTGATAGCAAGGCCGGCGTCGATCAAGTAGATTAATTTTTTGTTGGTCAAGCCAGTGGCTTGGGCCTTATCTGCAAAAAATGCACCCAGGTCTTGTTTTCGGGTGAGGATTAAACTCCCTTCAAAGCTCCAGGAAGTGTCTGGCAGCTGAGTGAGCAGCTCCCTTTGGGGAACAAACAGAGAGCAAATCATTGGGATGCTCCTGTTCTGCCTGTCTAGGAACTCAGCGACAGGCCGGCTGCTGCTGCCGGGCGGGGGCTGGGGAGACAGCTGGGCTGCCTTGACTTTCCCAGCACTGAGAGCTCGCAGAGCTAGGAGGGAATCCCTAGAAGCACAGGGATGAGATCTGCCTTCCTTCCACATTGCCCTGTGAGATGCTTACCCACAATGCTTTGCTTTCTCACCAGGGGAGCTAGCCACAATATTGGGGCTAGATGTAGATAGTGAACCACAGAGCCATAGTGAGACATAGAGCCAGTGTAGCTGTCACTATAGGACCTGTGGATTCCCCTAAATCTGAGGTATCCCTCAGTAGTCAGTTGATGCTACTTTGTATTTGTAGTGGCAGAAAGCGGCCTTGTCAGGGAACCAGATTTAGGGTTGCCAGATGGTTTCAACAAAAATACCAGACACACTTAATCTACACTTAGGGTTGCCAGATGGTTGAAACAAAAATACCGACACCCCCTCTGCCAATCCCCCCCTCAAAAAAACACACTGGGAAAAAATTTTGTTGAGCAAAGAAAAAAAAGTCACTGTACCTTTAAATTCCCACACTCCTCGGTCCCCCCGCCCTTGCCAGACATGGTGGTGGGAAATGTCCCCATTGGCCTTCTGGCAGAGGAAAACAGAAAATACCCAACATTTTACATGTCCGGTATTTTCTGTTGTTTTTTATCAGATGGAAGGTGCAATTACCAAGAAAAAATTTTGTTGAGCAAAGAAAAAAAAGTCACTGTACCTTTAAATTCCCACACTCCTCGGTCCCCCCGCCCTTGCCAGACATGGTGGTGGGAAATGTCCCCATTGGCCTTCTGGCAGAGGAAAACAGAAAATACCCAACATTTTACATGTCCGGTATTTTCTGTTGTTTTTTATCAGATGGAAGGTGCAATTACCGAACCAGACACCTGGCAACCCTATGTAGGCAGGTCTGCCCCATCCCGGTCACCGACAAGCCCCTCATTCCAAGCGAAATGAGTGGGAGTTAGGTGCCTAACCTGCTTGGATGCAGCGCCTAAATACCTTTAACAATCTGAGCCCAGGTGTCTAACTCCCATTAACCCTCCGTGTCTATTGACATTTTTAGGCACCGGAACTGTGCCCAGAGGTTCACCTTCAGCTACACGGAAATAAAAACATTTCTCGGCCTTGCCGGCTGTTCAGAGTTGTCAACAGGAACTTGGGGCATATGGCCACAGAAAGGAGGCGTTAGGTAGGTTAAAAGAGACAGAATTTGAGAGAGATTTCATGACATCTTCTCAGAGCTTTCAGGGCTACAGGAATGCTGCCCTCCCCAGCACTCTCACCCACCCCGCACCTGACCCTCTGTTGCCCACAGTCATAGTGCCACGGGGGTAGGGCCCCACGTGGAAAGGGCCAGTCCAATGGAGGTTGCTCACCGCTTCTGTAGAGGAAGTTGTGGGTGGTGCCCCACGTCCAGGTGATGAGGCAGAATGCGATTTTCCACAAGAGATTCGACATGTTCCCTACGAATCCTGGGGAGGCAAGAGCAAGGGGAAGGGGACCCGAAGGGGAGCGTCAATTCAAACAAAAAGCTGGGAAGACTCTGTGGACACATTCGGCCTTTTCCCCCTTGAACATCGGTGGGTGGGCAGAGATGGGTTTTGTGGATCCAAAGGGGTGATGAGGCAGAATGCGATTTTCCACAAGAGATTCGACATGTTCCCTACGAATCCTGGGGAGGCAAGAGCAAGGGGAAGGGGACCCGAAGGGGAGCGTCAATTCAAACAAAAAGCTGGGAAGACTCTGTGGACACATTCGGCCTTTTCCCCCTTGAACATCGGTGGGTGGGCAGAGATGGGTTTTGTGGATCCAAAGGCCCCCAGGTAGCTTAGTGCCTCTGGCAGAGTAACTGCTTTGAACTCAACACTTTGAGAACCCTCCTCTCTCCCTCCGCCCCACGACAAGGGGCATTTCTTTGCATTTCCGTGGGTAAAACTGAGGGCCAGTTTTGAGATGAGCGGCTGTGGGATGGGGATGGGGTTTGAGGAAAGAGCAGCATTCGGGAGATGGGCTCGCTGGGTGAGCAGTGACCGGACAGGGCCAAAAACTGCTTGGGGTCAGGAGGAGCTTGTGTGGGCAGGGTCTTTTCCCAAGAAATTGGACATTTAAATTCCCTTCCCCCAGAAAACACAATCGTTTCTGCCCAGCTGCAACCCCATGGGGGGAAGTGAGGTGGGTCAGAACAAACGGTGATGGGACTTTTCAGCTTAGAAAGGAGAATCCGAGAATCCCAGAGCGGGCAGAGACCTCAGGAGTCACCGAGTCCAGCCCCCTGCCCGAAGTAGGACCAACCCAACTCAACCATCCCACCAGGGCTTGGTCAAGCCCGGACTTAAACACCTCTAGGGATGGAGATTCCAGCCCCTCCCTCGGGAACCCAGCCCAGCGCTTCCCCACCCGCCTAGGGAAATAGCTTTTCCTGGGGATATAATAAAGGTCTGTAAAATCAGGACATGTATGGAGAAAATGTGTAAGGAAAAGTTATTTACTTGTTTCCATAACATAAGAACTAGGGATCACAAATTGAAAATAATAGGCAGCGGGTTAAAAACAAATAAAAAAAAGTTTTCCTTCCTGCAGCGCACAGTCAACCTGTGGAACTCCTTGCCAGAATAAATTGCCGAGGGCGGCTGTGGAATTTCCATGATTGCAGATATTTAAGAGCAGGTTACATAAACATCTGTCAGGCCTGATCTAGACCAGGGTGGCCAACCCGCAGCTCACGAGCCACATGCGGCTCTTCTCCCCCAAACCAGTGACTCTCAAATTTAAAAACAAATAAAAAAAAGTTTTCCTTCCTGCAGCGCACAGTCAACCTGTGGAACTCCTTGCCAGAATAAATTGCCGAGGGCGGCTGTGGAATTTCCATAATTGCAGATATTTAAGAGCAGGTTACATAAACATCTGTCAGGCCTGATCTAGACCAGGGTGGCCAACCCGCAGCTCACGAGCCACATGCGGCTCTTCTCCCCCAAACGAGTGACTCTCAAATCCTCTCCTGAGCTCCCCCGCATGACCCCTGCCCCCCCCAGCTCTCCCCAGCAATCGGCTCTCCTGTGCTCACTGGGGTGGCAATTCAAAATGGTGCCCAGGATGGCAGCCATTGAACAAAAAGCCTCAGTTTGTTTCTTAAAGGGGCAGCCTCTTTTTTTTCTCAGCAATTCTGTTGCAGCTCTTTGCAGTTTTTCCACAGCTGTTTCAGCTCTCTGTTAAGTGGGTTGGCCACCTCTGATCTAGACGGTGCTTGGTCCTGCTGTGAGGGCAGGGGACTGGACTTGATGATCTCTCAAGAGCCCTTCCAGTGCTCGTGTTCTGTGATTCTATGAATCTTTGTTTCCTACCCTTTAACCAGATCGTGGTGATTTTAGCATTTTATTTTTACCCCTTAATCTGAAGGGGAAACCAGTGGAAGAAAGAACTGAAACATCTGAAATGCTGAATTACACAGGGAAATAGTGAAACCATCAATTTTCTCCCTTTTAGACACCTCTGGTTCTTTGCTCCCACATGTGAAGCAGGAATTTGGAAATTTGGAAGCCCGTCTAAGTGACCAACATTTCTACAAGACTTGCCTGCAGCTTCCCGTTCACATTCCCAGATGCAGTGAGCTATCTCCCAAAATCCTTCTGTCACCATCTTCCAGTACGGGAACGAAGCCAGGTCAGAGCTCGTCAGGTGATGATTTCTGATACTTTCTTCTGCATAAATAATGGGTGAAATGAGCTTAGACGGGAGATAAGTCATAGAAGGCTCATTGGATCCATTTCAGTGGCAGAAAGCAATAGGTTTTAGGGTGTTCATTTCCTCGGGCCCTTTTGAAAACCTGAGCCTGTGTGTACTGGACCAGCCACGGGAATTTGTGGAAATACTGGCAAACACACAGATATTGTCAGCATGCAGCAATTCATTCATTCATTCCACAATTCATTTGTTGACAACAATTCATTCATTCAGCAATTCATGACATCAGACATTACCTACGGCACCACAGGCACTAGGTTTACATGATTAGACAAAGGAACAGGCAGTAAATCTAGTCCCACCGATCCACTTGCCTCTCTGGGATTCCATTAGCTCCCTGAAGACCCTCTCGCATTCTTTCCCGGGTGAGTCTTGCATGTGAAGCTCCAGGAAGAGGATGACACCCCAGCAGTGGCCAGAAGAACAGTGAGTAGCTGGAAGGAACGAGGACATGATGTGGCCACCAGGCTGCTGTTAATCCTGGTAGCCCCACGAGCGCAGATATCCCCAGACCCCAAAGTCCCTTGGGCGCTAGGATGCAACAGCCCGTGGAGGGTCAGAGCCCTGGTTGCTGAATGTGTCTGTACGTGGTACATCAGGCACACCCGGAGAAGGAGGTGTGTAATGGTTAGAGCTCCCCTCCCCCAACACCTGGTTTATGGTGCCAGCCACCTGGAGCAGACCAGGACAGCGGTGTACTAAATTCAGGATAACCCTGCTCCGTCAGGGATGATAAACATTTGGCTGCGTGCATTTTCTTAGGCTCCCTCAGTATCTCATGCCCGTTCTGCACAGGGAGCTAGCACAATACATGTCATGGGAGCCCCCAAAGACCACAGGCTCTGATAAAAAACCGAATCAGGTTTATTGTGGAACAAAGTGCATTAATAGTCGCCAGTAGCCAGACAGCCTCTGAGCCCCGATGTGTTTGAACCCATGACAATGGACTTGGCTCGGTCACTAGTATGGGTTTCACTATCGCCCCCCAGGCCGGCCAAAGAGCTGGGCTGAATGGCCCCCACACTGCTAGATGATTGCAAAGGTGCTCAGACTCCTTTTTCCTAACAGGAATCAAAATAAAGAAATGAAGAATAAATGCATGTTAAAAATGTTTCCGAAGAAGATGCAAAATGATTTACTTTCCTGGCATTCCTCTTCAACATGGACGGGTACAATGTTGAAAGGCCGTTATTTTACTGGACAAATGAGCATCATGTTTTGCTTTTACCTCTTAAAGTGGGGGAGGGGAGAAGAGAAGAAGAAAGAACAGAAACACTCGAAATGATGAAATAGTGAAATGACCATTTTTTTCTCCCACATGGGACACATCTGGCGCGTTGGCTCCCACATCTGGAGGAATAATTTGGGAAGTCCAGACACCGTCTGTCTAAGAGACAGCAGAGTCTGGAAGACTCACCTTGAAGTTCAGTTTTAAAAACCGCAATGAGTTCAGCGAACGCTGCCTTTCTTTTCCCCCACGTCTCTGAACTCCAGGTCTTATGCACCTCGTAGCACTTCAGGTAGGAACTCTTGGTTTTCCCACCTGCTCAGAGAATGGGCAAAGTTAGGTTAGATTTGAGACGACCAATGGGAGGCTCATTCAATATGCTCTGGAGCTCAGGGATGTTCAACGGGTGCAAATGCAGTTGTGGTGGTCACTAAAAAGCAATAGGATTTACGGGTCAAATTTTCCAGGCCCTTTTGCAAACCTGAACCTGTGTGTGTCAAAATGGTCACGGGAATTTGTGGAAATACTGGCAAACACTGGGATATTGTCAGCATGCAGCAATTCATTCATTCACCAATTCATTCACTCACTCACTCACTCATTCACTCATTCACTCCATTCATTCATTCAAAGCAATTCATGCTATCTGATATTTCCTAAGGTGCCAAAGGAAGGAGACTTTGGACCCCGTTTGAAAATCCCGTCTTGCTTAATTAGACACAGGGACCGGGGATCAATCTAGCCCTGTCGATCCACTTGCCTTTCAGCGCTTCCTTTAGCTGCCTGAAGACTTCCTCGCAGTCTTTCCCGGCTGAGCCTTGTTTGTAAAGCTCCAGGAAGAGGCCAGCGCTCCGGCAAAGGTCAGAAGGAGAGTGAGGAGCTGAATGGAATGGAGACATGATGTGGCCACCAGGCTGCTGTTAATCCTGGTAGCCCCATGGGTGCAGAGGGGAAAGTCTGATGTTGCCAGACCCCCCCAAGTCCCCTGGGCACCAAGATGCAACAGCCCGTGGAGGGTCAGAGCCCTGGTTGCTGAGTGTGTCTGTGTGGTACATCAGGCACACCCGTGGGAGGAGGTTTATAATGAGTTAGAGCTCCCCTCCCCCGACACATGGCTTACGGTGCCAGTCACGACTAGACACCCCCTCTTCTCCAGTCTGGTCCTGGATCCCCAGCTCTACGGGAAATGTTCCCTCCCTCGGCCAGGCAGCGATGGGGGAGACGTAACCACAGCCCCGCTGTCCGACCTGCTGTCGCTGGGTTTCCCAGAGTTCCCAGCGGTGACGGGAAGGGAGGGATTCCCCGCACAGGCTCAGCTGTGAGCTCGGTTGGGTTCGGCAGCTGAGCCCGCTCTAGGGAGGGAATTTCGTACGGCCGAGAACCACAGAACCTGAGAGACCTCGCAGGCCTCCTGGGAGATGCAAACAGCCCATTAGAACCATCTAATTGCCCTGGCCTGGAGGCCCACCCTGCCTGCCAAGATGTTCAGTCAACCTCACCTGTTGGGCCCCCCCCCCCCAGCTCTCACTTGCATTGGCTTTAAATTTCTCTTCCTCTCCCATAACTCCACCTCCAGCAGATGCTCAGGGTCCCCGTGTCAGA